GAATGCATTAACAAATTATAGCTTATAATTAGTCGAATTAGTGAAAATTGACTATATTCATGACGCGCTTGTCAAGCGAAAAACACACTGCCCAAAGATTTTATTATTTATTCTAGTAGATGTGTCATAATACTCAGTAGCTGCAATAGATTGGATACCTGATACCGTTGCACTTTTGAGAAAAAATAATTTACCGCCAGCATACTAACACGAATATTTAATCCGCTGTCTGAAAGACGTTTTTAAAATACACAATATTTGGTTTGCTTCAAGTGATCAGGATAATTTTTAGTTTAGGTTTATGCCTAGGCAGGAAATAATAAAATATGTAATTTTCAAGAAGTGAGAATAAAAGCGCGAGATGAACTGTGAGATATAAAAAAGCTCAAATATCACTTGCGTAATTAACGTTTTAACTTGTTTTCGAACGCGTCCGAAAATAATTGCAAAAAAATTTTTAAAACTGACTACAATTTCCAAGTCAACGTTTTTTGTTCATTTTATGAATGACTTCTTCCACACAGAAAGTTTGAAGGAAATCTGTAATCTTAAGAAATTCGACTGGTCGGTTTTTACACGGACTGCCTCTTAAATTGTAAATAGTAACTATTTTTATCTTGTAACTATTATTAACTAAAATTGTAAATTGTATGTATTTTTTAGTTTAGTTTTAGTATAGTGAGAGCCATGAAGTTCTCAGTGTATTAATTGACTCCTGTAAAATGTTATACCCTCTTTAAATAAAGCCTATATTATTATAAGTAATAGCATGGCTTGAGGGAGATTAGTGATTAAATGGCCCCGTAACCCGAGGCAGGTTTGCGGAATTCCCGAGGGCGAAGCCCGAGGGAATTCCGCAAACCTGCCGAGGGTAAGGGGTCATTTAATCACTAATCTCCCGAAAAGCCATGCTATTAGTTTGTAATAGCATAGTTGCGCTCCCATTTAGAAATGGACAAACATGCCCTACTTGGAATCAGCGTATTTAAGCTAAAACATTTGCTTCATTGCTTGTGGGATGTAAAAGCTTGTGCACATGCGCACTTTTTACGCTTTAATCGGTTACGCATGCGCAATCTATCATTTAACGTACCGCAACAAAAACGCTAAATATATTAGTATAAAATTGGAGACTGCACGTGCGTAATTTAAATGATGCGGCAACTCAGGGATCGGATGATAGACTATTGACGGCTCTGAGCTAACTGTTGCTGTTTCTTGCACGATTATGTGCGTGAGGCACTTGCCTAATGCGTAGTCGTCAGGGAGACAAAGGTGTGACCCTTGGTAACGGGCGAGTAGTTCTAATCGCCCGCTCTAGCGGGCGATTAGAACTAATCGCCCGCTACAGCGGGCGATACGTGATTAAACGTCCCTGTTGAAACAAAAGAAACCCGGGCAACTATGCTATTATAATAATAATAATAATGATGATGATGATGATTGTTCAAATACTCTTCCTTGAGTAGGGACCAGTTGTGCAATGCCCTTTTATAAAGCCTGATTCTCATTTATCGTAATATCGGCGATGCCCATTGTCGGTGGTCATTGATGCATAAAATATTTTGTGCATTTTCTTCTTCGTTGCTCACAGACAATGGATCTTACAACTTCGCCGATTAATGAGAACCAAGCTTTATAGGGTGAATAAGTCCGGATTTGTAATGATCAAATTCAAATTTTGTACAAACTAAATAGGCATGGAAACAACCGATTTCAGTTGACTCATTTCTGATTAGATTTTTGCCAAACCTCGTAAAGCAGACAGATTCAACAGTTTCCGCCAACTTTTATATTGAAATATATAAATAGGGTTAGGTAAGACCTATCGTTCTGCAAGTCACTTAACAGGAAGATATTCACAGGTCTATTGCGTTTTCGTTGGCAAAATACCGTAAAGCAATTCTATAATTGCTCCATTTTTCTTTCAGAAGTCACGCATCCAGAATTGGAAACGGGAAAATCGAAAGGTAGGCCTATAAGAAAAAGAATTTACTGATATGATTAAGGTTTTATCAGAGTGTTTAAGATATGTTAAGAAATTAATTAACAAAACAATTTCCTTCGAAGATATCAGTTTGCCTATTAGTATAGGTAACCATGCGATGGCGAGTACAATTAGGGATTAATAGTACGAGTGATGTTTGGAAATTTTGCCAAAATTGGGGGCGAATCCAATTTGGCAAATTTCCAAACATCACGAGTACTATTAATCTCTAATTGTACGAGCAACATCGCATGATTACTTGTTTAGTATTAGCATCACAAAATTGGATACGTACTTCTCAATGTCAACATCATATTCTTTCGCCAAGCCCAGTTCTGCCAGACTTTCAACCAAAATTTGGTGCTTTTGTTTGTATTTTCATTTAGTTTATCTTTTGTTAAAGCAAAATTTGGTGTTTTTGTTCGTATTTTCATATACTTCCTTCACAGCAAATTAATTTCACATCTGTGTTTAAAATACCTTTCCGCCATTTTGTTTGTTTTGGGAAATAATAAGTACCTACCAAAATAGCGCGCGGATCCTTTCGCGATGTTTTCGCGTCTAAAAGCTCAGGAATGCGACCACATTCGTAACATTGTGAAATCGACTTCGTTTGAATGGCGACGTCTGATTGGTCTGCGAGGCATAGGTAGTGACATGCACATCCTGTTGTGTGGTCTTTTCCAGTTTTATCTATCTATTTTTTATAAATGTGTAAGTTTTTTTTTAATTTCTCCTTTTTATAAACTTCGTAAAATTTGCGTCAGCCCGCTTGATGAGTAACTGAACGCTGTACAAAAATATGTTTAAAAAATAAAAAGTAAAATAGTTTCACATTTAAAATAGCGATAATAGGCGTATAAATGTAGCCGTATTCTTGAACACTTTGACACGAAAAACATGACGAGCTTTTCCGGCGAGGCGATGGTTTTGGTAATTTTAAGGTTACTAATTTTAGGATCGGCTTTTATTGTTCGTGATGATTGACATTACGTGATTAACGAAGGAAAAAAGGAAAATGAAGCCTAAACTATCACGGATATCAATCACTTTGTGGCATCGTTATCATTATTTTTTTAGGTTCACTACAAAAAGAGTTGCTGTCGTTCCCAAACTTGGCTTATGTCGTAGGTGGTTTCGTTTTATTAGTTGGAATAATATTGTTATTTATATTCTTACGACGACGTAGAAGAGTTGATAGTCGACGCCTTAATAACGATGTTTTCCAATTATCATTTGGAAATGAAATTTATTCACTTGAGTATACCGACAACAACGATCGCCGTGAAAGGTCAGCAGAAAATATGTTGTATACGACACATGAAGAATGTCGAAATGAAATCAATGACGTCACTGAATGTTAGAAAGCTTCCTGTCAGAAACAAACGAGTATTGGGCACAATCCTAATATAGTTATCATTATAGATTAGTAATTTAATTCAAAAGATTCAAAACTTAACTTAGGCACTCTAAGCTGATCACACAGGATACAATTTCCTAGCTTACTAGCTAGAAATAACACTATTTGGGTTAAGTAATATATCTACATGGCCATGGATATATTTCCTTAGTGATTCAATATCTTTATATTTGAACAGATCTAACAAAGATATTCGGTTGATTTAATTAACCAGAACCTTCTGGTCGTAGTTCTCACGACAACTTTTTAAAAAACAAAGAAATTTTTTTTTGTTTTTCTGTCGTTTATCCGGCACAAATAATCTATTAATATTAAATATCTGGCTTGTTTTTAACTCCACTTATTCATACTTATTTTCACTTAATTTGTGTATTGTTCCTCATAGAAAGGTTTAATTTCCTAGGGACTTTTAGCCTGCATGAGATTTAGTTTATAGATACTTTTTCTCTCGTTGTTTGTTTACTGTTATAAAAGCAACATTTGCATGAACGGAAACAAGAAAGGCCACGACGTCCTCGCATGTGATCAAATATCGCATTCGTATTCGTAATCGCTGCTCAACATCTTTAATATCTCTGGCTATGCAACACCAAATCAAAGGCAAAATATCAATTGGGAAGTGGGACAATATACAGGTTTTAAGAAATAGATATATCTCATCAAGCCAGTTCACAAAACAAATGAAGTATTCAGATAATAGACAAATAATTTTATTCGTGCGCAGAAGTAAAGGCCTTTACACGGCATCCGCCACGTCACGTAATCGTATAAATATGTTGACTGGGATATTCACTGCATACTGTGTCGCATGCTTTTAAAAACCCTCACTCCCTGAATAAAACCCCTGTCAATAAGGTGAATTTGTTTTACAATCTGGAAAAGCGATAGAAATTTCTGCAGACAAGGTATTATAGAAACAAAAACCTTAGAACTATACAGGGTGTATCAGAGGAGGTCGGACAAGCAGGCCGCAAAGCATCATGGGTTTGAGCGCCTAATTCCAGGCGTGGCTTCAATGACTCTTTGACTGTCGTGTAGTGAACATCTCTCTGAGTAAACAAATATGCAAGCATTCGAAAGACAAGATTGTCAGGCTGCAATACTTCGTGAAAATAGCATGTTATTGCTGTATTGTTGCGATCCTCATTATGACGTGTGAGTTACTGGGACATGCTGTCATTTCAGCTTTATAAATAATCTGCGAAGGAATTGTGTTATTCCCAATAGCAAGGCTCTTCTTTCTAAGCTGGATGGTGTTAAATCTTCGTGTAACATCAACGTTAAAACAGGTTGGTATCCTATAGTGCATTACAGTTGACTTGTTTCAAATTTCCGCTTTGTTGTTTTCAATATTGTACTGTAATTTATAAATACTCTGTACAAATTATTGCGTAATATTTCAAAGATTAAATTCAACCCTAATAGTTGAACGATATCTGTTTGTATATAGTTGTGAATGGTTGTTTATATGTGCAAACTGTAGTTTAGTATTTTTCAATTTCCATCTAAATATTGCTATGTTTGTGTGTTGTTCTAAATACACAGTTAGGTATTAAGAATTTAGAGGTTTCATGTGCTTTTGTGTTAGATTGCTAAGTTTAGAGATGACGGTGTTGGAATAATAATTTTCTTGTTATGATTTTGTAGAAAGAGATGACTTGAGTTGTTGGCTGGTCTTGAGTCTGTTCAGGATGGATATGATAATGAAAGAGGTGATCAAGGTGAAAGGGCAGAAAGTGATTAAAGTGCATCGATGCTGCTCATGAGAACCACTACCAACATCATTTGGAAAAGGCATACATCACTCTTCATGAACAAGTTAAACCAATGAATGTAAGCTGAATACGGCCAGAGCCATTGAATCCAAGGAACTCAAGTGCAATATCAATTGATCTAGACTATGGAACTGGATGGCCAGATGTTGGTTATATATATATTGCTTCTGAACTATGCAAGTATTTGCACCCACTAATTTCTGCAAGAGATCTATGCTATATTCAGCATATCAACTACAGGGTTGACTTTTTTAAATAGGATTTTATCCAAAAAATTTCATAGAGACTTGGTGAGTGGGAGACTCAAGTGCATGGTAGGAAAAGCATGAGTGTACGTTGACAGATGTTTTTATATAAATAATAGCAACTATCTATGTTTTATAGCAAGTTATTGGGGTGCATTTATTTCAGTTGGCTAGTACTTTTTACATGCCCAGCATTTTTAAACAAACCATAGGTTATAAATGATAACATTCTATATCTAATTAAAACAATCTGTCGTACACTCATGCAAATAAGTACATAACTGTAAAAATGTGCTTTAGTAAAATAAAATAAATGAATAATTTATCCATGCATTTGACCTACGTTGTGAGTAATTCTTTCAGATTAAAATTAATGCAACAATAAAACAAGTAGATGTCTATTTTATATATAAATATTTATTAGATTTCAATAAATTGACCACAATAACATGCCTATATACTTGATAATTTGCTATATATGATACATGATAATACAATAATTAAGACTTGTTTTATTGTTTTAAAACAAGTGGGGATCTCTGCTGGTTTGAAATGGGCTGTTATAACACCGTGTTGTCCATGATGAGGATTCCACAGCTCAATTTTCAACAAAAACAGGCGTTCAGCTCGTATGGAAATATGTACACGATCCAGTCGCGTCAGCCAAAAACAAAAAACTTTGAAAATCGCACAGATATAAATTCTACAAAAATATTAAAACAACTCCTAAGTCTTCTAAATAATATTTTAACACCTTAACAAAAATTCATTGAAAATATAATCTTTGATGGCGCAAATTCTTTCCAAGATATTGGACGCCATTTTAGCGAACGTCGAGTTGACAATAGTCGCTTCAATGGCCAATTATCTCGAAAACTACCGGGGTATCATCGGGATCATTCCAGCAGATTTAAAGCTTATACTTTTTTCTTGATGTCTGCCAAAAATGAGGAAAGTCGAACCATGGGAATTCTAGATATTTCACTTTAAACAATGTAAACATATTTAAACTTGAGTCATCACGTCGCGGGGAGTCGACTAACTTCAAACATCAAAATAACATTGAAAATAACGTTTACCTCAGAGATATTTACAGATATCACCAGATCTTTAGCAGCAGCACTACTACACTTGAAATGTTACAAGAAAATTTTAATATTAATATTTTTTCTCGATTCATTTTCCATCAAATGCAAATTTTTCTGTCCAATTTCTGCAAATAACACGATGGAAAATAGCGCGATCTCATTGGTCGAGAGCTCACGTGACATCTCGCTAATTGCTTGTCCGACCTCCTCTGAGGGTGTATAAAAAAAACTGAACAAATATGAATATGCTCTCAATTTCGCAAAACAGCTATTAGTATCCACTGTTTGTTGTAGATAGCTTCTTTGGGTACTTATAATGTAGAATAATGAAAAAAAAATCTCGAACTCAAATTTTGTGAACCGGGGGTGTGTGTCTTTTCCAAAAACCAAAAATGGCTTGCGCACGAAATTTAAAAGCTTTAATCATATTTTGAGTTAATAGATGGAAAATTTGTTGGGTTTTTATTAATTATTGTACAAAATTTCAGACAATTTGCTTTAGTGCCCTTTAGCTATTCACGCAAACTTACATCTTCTCCTAAAAATCAGCTATTTGCATGTTTAGTTAATGCCTTTGCTTAATTTGCATATATCAGCAATATGCAAATTAGGTAAAGGCATTAATTGAGCATCCGAAAGACTGATTTTTTAGGATAAAATGAATAGCTAAAGGGCTTACTAAAGCAAATTGTCTGAAATTTTGTACAGTAATTAAAAACCCAACAGATGTTCTGCCTATTAACTCAAAATATAATTAGAGCTTTTAAATATCGTGCGCAAGCCATCTTCAGTTTGTTGGAAAAGGCACCTCCCGGTTCAAAAAATTTGAGTTCGAGAAATTTTTTTCATTATTCTACATTATAAGTACTCAAAGAAGTTATATACATCAAAAACTGGATACTAATAGCTGTTTTGCGAAATTGAGAACAATTTCAAATCTGTTCAGTTTCTTATACACCCTGTAGAAACATATAAACCATAAAACTACAAAGTGGTGCCGAACTATGTAGCCATAGAACTACAGAACCATAGAACTGTATAACTACAGAACCAAAGAACTACAGAACCATAGAACTGTAGAACTACAGAAGCATAGAACTGTATAACTACAGAACCAATTAAGAACTACAGAACCATAGAACTGTAGAACTGTAGAACTGTAGAACTACAGCCATACAGTATACGTACATTACTTGCACGTACACATGTACATGCATAGCTACTAAATGCTTGATGAAAGGCCTTCGTTCGAAACGTCTAAGTTCTCCTTAATGTATATTTCAGGCAATTGTATATCCCAACTAGAAATACAATCATGCAAGAACCCCTCGCCTATATTTCCCAAACATTGTTTCAACATGAAGTAGCTATTCGTAATTACGCCAACACTGAACGCAGGCTCGCGTTGCGCACGTCATGTTAGTGATCCATTGTAGAATCCGACATATTTATAAGCTATTTTCTACCTATTTTTTCTCTATTTAGCCCTATTTTTTCCGTATTTTTTCAAAAATATATCTATTTTATTACTATTTATCAAATTTCATAAAATAGTATATGACTCCCAGCTAGCACATAACGTTATTACAACGTTGGTAAAAGGTTGTTGCAAAGTTAGATCTAACTTAACTTTCACACGACGTTCACACAACATTACTTTTCTATCCGGAATAAAAGCACGTGGTGTAAACGTTGGTTGAACGTTGAAATTTAACGTTCCAGGATGTCATGCGACACCTTCTTAGCAATGTTAGATTTCAACGTTGTAGCAACGTTAATGTGTAACGTTTGGCCGTGACATCAAAACAACGTCGTAGACAACGTCGTCCTGACGTTAAGATTTGATATTTTCGCAACGTTCCAGGATGTCATACGATATCTTCATGGCAATGTTAGATTTTAACGTTGTAGCAACGTTAATGTGTAACGTTTGGATATGACATCAAAACAACGTCGTAAACAACGTCGTCTTGACGTTAAGATTTGATATTTTCGCAACGTTCTAAAAAAATTAAACATATGTCTTCTATTATTGAACCTGACAGTTAAATTATAGGTATAAAACCGCATCAGGCCATATGACTTCGTATGCCTATTCAGCTGCAGGAATCGCGAGGAACGTCGCGTTGGTTAGTTCTTACTGGAAATTTTGTCCTGAAAACGTTTTATCCAACTGATTTCGAGCCAGACAGTAGGCCTTTGTATTTGGCAGCTTATCAACAACTCGCCAAATATGGTAATTCTG